TCCTGTGAGGAAATCAGCGCGTTATTCTCCCCTCTTATTGCACTAGATCTTTTCGATCTGTACATTTGCAAATTGTACGAACAGTCCCAATAAAAGATAAGATGTGGCGAAATTGGTCATGCATCGGGGTCCACAACCCTTTGCTGAAGACGGTTGTGGAGGCTGAAACAGAGAAACAAATTAAATCTAGGTGCTGGGTGATCAACATAGCGACTCGATGAATAGCCCTCTCTTAGCCCATAAAAAAAGCAAAATAAACAGCCTGATAATTTCTTGTGGTTGCATGTTGCACGAAGATGGAACCGACAGGGTCGACAGTCATGTGGGTGATTCAAAAGCAATTTGTAATGAAAGGGTTTAACTAGTGCATGCAGCATGAGACTCTCAGTATGTTTACAGTGTTGTAAAAACTTTTAAAGCTATTTGACCATTTAAATTACGGAGAGGTGGGTTCTTCGAAAGGTTATACAAATATTCATTTTACGAGTACATTCACTGTTGATCAGAAATAAAATTAATGTAAAGACTAAATCTCCATATTATTGTATGTTAAGTATGCGAGGATAATCGGATCTTTGGTAGACTAGAAATATATTTCAGAGAACACAAATTAATTTAAAAATATACGTTTAACATGCTAAGTTTTTCGCCAAATTTTGGCGAAAACGTCATAAAAAAAGGAAAAACCTAGTGCGCAGGTTTTTTTTTTCTTGCATATCCGGGCGACAAATTGGTAGGCTAAAACCCAGGAGGAAAACACGTAATTGACCAGATTGTGGTTTTAAAATAATATAATACGCAGATGTGCTACTATTCCCCCAACCCTAGTCATCACAAGAAACTTCATCCACAATCATCTGGCTGTGCCTCTGTCGGTCACAATTTGCTTCTGGTCTCTTATTTCCGGCTGCAACTCCCCCATCGACTCCAGCAGCGCCCGATCATGTCGAACCTGGAGGTCTTACCTTTGCGGAGTTACCGCAGTTCTTGTTCGTTGGTTCGAAACTTCCGTTTGAGCTCGTCACAGCATGGGCATCGCAGCCACCGTCATCGCCGCGTCGTCGTCATTGGGGGCTCTGTTGGCATCCCCGTGTTCGTCTAC